ACGGCAGGACGGTGGGGGGTGGGTGAGGGCGAGTGCCACGGCAGGATGGTGGGGGGTGGGTGAGGGCGAGTGCCACGGCAGGACGGTGGGGGGTGGGTGAGGGCGAGTGCCACGGCAGGACGGTGGGGGGTGAGGGCGATGCCACGGCAGGACGGTGGGGGTGGGTGAGGGCGATGCCACGGCAGGACGGTGGGGGGGGGGTGAGGGCGAGTGCCACGGCAGGACGGTGGGGGGTGGGTGAGGGCGATGCCACGGCAGGCCGTCCTGGCGCAGAGCAGGCGTCGCGGGAGAAACGCGCTCAGCACGAGGTCGGCCCTCCTCTCACCGCTTCCACCCTAAGCAGGCAGGAGCTCCGGAAGTCCCAGCAGAGGCCACCACGCCTGCTCCTGCAGCTTTGACAGGGCCAGGGAGAGCCTGCCTGATCACAACGCAGGCTCAGAACCCAGCTGTCGCAGGGAGCAGTTTTGGAAATGTCAGCTACGAGCACCCAAGGCCCTTGAGAAAGTTGAAATCCTATACCGCTCCTCCTGCTCCGGGAGGCAGAGCCGTTGGGCCCAGATTGCTGGTTGCCTGGCAACCCAGACAGAGCCTCCAGGGTCACTCAGTGGGCAATCCTGCCCCTCGGTGTGCAAGGAGCGACAGGGAGGCAGCGGGAACGCAGGGCCGCCACCCACGGAGCCCTGACTCTGGCCAGGTGACAGGGTCAGCAGCATCACCGTCCACTGCAGTGTCACGTAGAAGCTGTTTTGTTTGTAATTTATTTGAAAGGCAGAGTTACAGAGAGAGACACAGAGAATCTTCCATCCACCAGTTCACTCCCCGAAAGGGCCGCAACGGCCAGAGCTGCACAGATCCTAAGCCAGCAGCCAGGAGCTTCCTCCGGGTCTCCCATGCGGGGGCAGGGCCCAAGGACTTGGGGCCATCCTCCACTGCTTTCCCAGGCCATAGCAGGGAACTAGTTTGGAAGTGGAGCAGCCAGGACTCAAACCGGCACCCATATGGGATGCCAGCGCTGCAGGCGGTGACTTTACCCCCTGCACCACAGCACTGGGCCTGTAGAAACTACTTCTTTTCCTTTTTTTTCTGTAGAAACTACTTCTAACCACCGATGTACAGATAAGAAACCGAGGCGTGGGGGCACTAAGGCTTCTCAAGGCCGCAGGGGCAGCAAGCGGCCCTGATCTCGAGCTGTGACCACTGGGCGACCCTGCCCCGCACACAGAGGCACAGGCTGGTTGACGTCGGAGAGCGGTGGGTCCAGGGCGTTCCCGGCAGCGTCCGCAGATCTCCCACCGTCGTTTCTTCTCCTCCGGAGATACAGCGTGGCTGCAGAGTTCTTTGACTGCACCGGGGCGAGGCTTGCTCCCTCCCCACTTTCAACAGACTCACTTCTTTATATTTTATTTTATTTTTTTTTTTTTAGAGACAGAGAGAAAGGTCTTCCTTCCGTTGGTTCACCCCCAAGTGAAAGCTACGGCCGGCGCGCTGTGCCGATCCGAAGCCAGGAGCCAGGTGCCTTTCCTGGTCTCCCAGGGGTGCAGGGCCCAAGCACTTGGGCCATCCTCCACTGCACTCCCGGGCCCACAGCAGAGAGCTGGCCTGGAAGAGGGGCAACCGGGACAGAATCCGGCGCCCCAACCGGGACTAGAACCCGGGGTGTTGGCACCGCAGTTGGAGGATTAGCCAAGTGAGCCACGGTGCTGGCCTACAGACTCACTTCTGCCCACACACGTGGCTCCCCGATGTTTGGACGGAGCCTCTATCTTTCGACCATTCTCTTCACTTCTCCAGGCAAACTGGCTGGAACCGGGTGCAGGGAGTAGGGGCACTGTCCCTTCCCTTTGGACAAGTACTTGTGCTTAGGTAGCCCAGTGCGAATCAAACAGCAGAGGGCCGGGAGCTTCCAGGCGCTAATTCATCCTCCCTCGTCTCCATCACTCCCCAGCCCAGGACACTCCATGTGTGAAAGCAGGCGAAGGCAGAACCCGAGTCTGCCGGGCCAGAAGGGAGTCGCTTCACTCCCTTCCGACGCTCTGAGCCTTCCAGTACCTGCAACGTCACTTCTGGAGCCAGACCACACGCATGGCTCCTTCACCACCGACTCTGAGCCCGTCACACCGACAGGTCACTGTAGGTGCCACACTTGAAAACCTGCGTCCTGCCTAAAGGGGGTCTCAGTGAAGCTCTGGGTGGCTCGTGCTAGCAGTGAAGGTGGAAAGAAGTTCCCGC